AAGAGCCTCAGGATCACAGAGATGAGGCTCAGAGGCCGATAAGGAGCACAGCAAAGATGCCTGAGGGACAGACAAAGCCCCTCTGAGGACAAGGAGTCAACCAGGGCAAGAGAAAGGAAGTCACCTAGGTGGTGGGTCAGAGCTGTGTTCTCTCAGTGTCTTAAAGATCAGCACACATGGCACATGTGAGATCAAGGAGGCCTTCCTTGTGTGTTGGGGAGCAAATGTTTTGCTAAGCATAGTGAGGCATTATGGGATATTTTTAAGGCAGAGCACTCCCATGATAGGATTTATCTTTTAACAATTGACCACTCTGGTTGGGCTGTGGGGAACAAGAAAAACTCTTGGCAGGGAAGATTGCATCCTGGCATATAGGAAACTCAGGGCAGTGGAGATCACTGGGGATGTAGGCAGACGGTGCCATATTTTGGAGTTAATGTCCATTAGACTCCCTAATGTACAAAGTGAGAGAAAGAGGGATTAGGAATGACCCCAAGGTTTTGACCTTAAGCCATTAGCTAGAATGTGATTTAATGATATAAAATAAAACATGGGCCAAATAAATTAGGGTTCAAAGCAAGAGAAGTTTGTTGTTGTTGTTCACTTCCAGTTTGAGAGGCCAATAAACATGCAGATAAAGCGTCAGGTTTGCAGGTGAGTGTAGTTTGGGCTCAGAGGAAAAGAAATACACAGAGGTATTCAGCAGTGCCTAGAGGGAAATTTATAGTATTGAAATGAATATAAGCATATGTGCATGCACATATACACATACATGTGTGGGTGCAGGTGTGTGTGCATAAATAAATATCTGTGTGAAAACTAAAGGCATAAAATCAATAACTTCAACTTCTACCTTACCAAACTACAGAATGAGAAGCAATTTAACTCTAAAAGATTTAAAACCTTAAGAAAGTAAATAGTAAATATTACAGTGGAAAATGGAAAAACTAAAAGCAAAAGAGTAATGGTGAACACTAAGCACAAGAAAAGCTGATCTTTGAAAAGACTATGTTGTTTAGTTTCCAAGTGTTTGGAAATTTTTGGGGTTGTGTTTTCCATTATTGATTTCTGGTTTCATTCCTCTGTGGTCAGAGAACATACATATTATAATTTTAATGTGTTAAGGTGTTTTATGGACAGAATATGGCCTATCTTGGTATCTGTTCTATGGGCACTTAAAAAATATGAATTCTGCTATTGTTGGTTGGAGTGTTCTATAAATGTGTGTTGGTTGATGATGATATAGAGTCTTTCGATATTTGTGCTGATTTTCTGTCTAGTTGTCCTATTGATTGTTGATAATGGGCATCCAAATCTCCAAATGTAATTGTTCTGTTAGTTTTTGTACTTTGTTGCTCTGTTGTTTAGTCCATACACACTCAGAAGTGCACTGTCTTCTTTTTAGAATGACTCTTTTTATCTTTTGTTATGTAGTGCACCTTTCTTTCCCTGGCAATTTTCTTTGGCTCTGTAGTCTACTTTCCTGGATACTAATATTAGCTCTCCCTTCTTTATTTTCATTAGTATTAATATATTCACAGTAAGCCTTTTTCCTTCCATTTATATTCAATCTGGTTTTATTGTTATATTTGATGCAAGTGTCTTATAGACAATATAGTGTTGTGATTTTTCCTATAGATTTTATCAATTTCTTATTTCATATATTTAATGTGATTATTGATATGTTAGGATTTAAGTCTGCACTCACTCTGTTTTTTTTAAAACCATTTTCTGTTTCTCCATCTTCTTTTCCTTGCCTTTCTTTGGATCAGTTGAAAGTTTTTACAATTGCATTTTGATTTTTTATAGTTTTTTTCTTGTATCTCTATTTATACTGATTTTTAATTGGTAGCTGTGATATTTCCTTCATATGCATAGTGTATCACAGTACATTGGTTTAAATATTTTACAATTTAAATCAAATATAGAAACTTACCTTTCTTTATGTCCCTTTAACCTCCCCCGTTTATAGTAGAAATTTCATAAATATTTCCCCTTCAGTCATTGGGAACAACATCAGACAGTGTCAAAACTTTTGCTACAAATATCACACATAATATTGAAATGCATTTTATTCATCTATCTTTTCATCTTTTATAGTCTTTCTTCCCCATAATGTTTCAAGATTCTTTCTTCTGTCATTGATTTTACCTTTCTAAGGCTCCTGTTAGCCATGTTTAAGGTGAGTCTGCTAGAAACAAATTCTCTTAGTTTTTCTACAACTGAGGACTTCCGGATTTCTTGTTGATTCCTGAAGAACATTTTTACTGGGCACAAAAATCTACATTGACAGGTTTTGTTTTTTTTTTCCTGGCACATGAAAATGTGTTATTTTCTTCTGACCTTCATGGTTTCTGAAGAGAACTTCAAGTCATTGAAGTTTTTTGGGTTGTTTTTTCCCCTAGAAATAAAGAGTAATTTTTCTCATACTGCTTTTATGATTTTTCTTTGTGTTTAGTTATTAGAAATTTGACTATGATGTGTCTGGCATAGATTTCTTATTGTTTATCCTGTATTTATGTCCATTTTCTTTTCAGTCTATTTTCTCACTGCTGTTTAGGTTGAGCCATTACTATTATTCTATTTTACACCTCAAGGAGTCTTTCCTCTGCCCACTCCATCCTGCTATTAGGCCATCTACTGAGCTGTTCATTATGGTGATAGTATCTTTCAGTTTAAGATTTCCATGTTTTCCTTTGTTATATTTTGGTTTTCCTTCCTGATGCTTTCTATTATTTCAGTTATATGAAGCACGTTTGCATCTGTACATTGATGCATTTTCATGAGGGCTGCTTGAAATCCTTTTATGATGATTCTAACATATATGTCTTGTAGGGGTTACTTCCCACACAAAGTAGGACCCAGGTTTTGAAAGTTTTCTGTATCAGTGAAACATACAGTCTCTAGCACTAGGGTGGCCAGTGTTCTGTAAGCAGGAAAAACAAACACATTTCCATAATACAGAAGAATCCTAGTAAGGATGTACCACAACCACCTCCAGGGGAAAGTGATCTGAAATCCCAAATTACCACCAACTGCCAGGTGACATTTGTCTTTGCTGGCTGAGGAGTCAGATCCCCAGAAGTGAGAGCAGTTGGGTCAACACAGGTGGAGACAGTGGGAGTGAGGCATGGCTCCTGTCACAGCGCACCGGCATAGCCCCATCCAGATCACCATGGCGACCCTGCTCAAGAATCTAGTGTGCAAATACTGTGGAAGTTAAGAAAAAAGATTGAGTCTAGTTAATCAGCTTAGAGGTGGATGTGTCTTCCAGTAGGGATGGTTACTTAATGTCTCATTTATGGTAGATATTATCTGCTGTTTTGATATAATAAATAATGTTCTGCACACATAGTACCCACTCATGTGAGTGCACCTACATGACTCTTTTCTAGAGCTTCTTGTCTATGATCTTTTTCCAGAACTTCAATCAACCAGCTATCCAGTAAATCCATGCATACTTATATTTGATTCGGCACTCTCTTCTATCCACTCTAGGTTGATGACCATGTGCTCCGCTCAAATATCTGCTAAGTCAAAATAATATTTCACAACCACTCATGATTATGGTCATAGTGTGGGAGAAATTCACCTTTATTTGCACACAAACCTATGAAAATCCTAGCTTTCATCATTGTTTTTTCAGTCTTCTTTGTTTTTGTTTGTTTATATTTGTCTTTGTTTTCCTTTCTCATATTAGCTGACTTGGAAAATCCATGAGGTCATAGAAGTGAGCTGATACAGAGGAGATAAGGTAAGAGGAAAGTGACAAGGGGAATTGTAACACCTGCCCACGTAAAGGAAGCATGTTCTCTAAATCTACTGGCAATTCAATTCCAAAAGTACCATCTTCCTCCTACTATGCAGAACTGCTGAGCCTCACCTGACCTTGTGCATTGATGAGACTGACATTCCCAGTTTATGAGGGAGAGCTCAGTAACACACTTACTTAAAGCCTCATGGGCAAGTCTACCAGGACCTTGTGAGAATCTGGGAACTCTGTTTTGAACAAGAAATAGTCTGTTAGTTTGCTTCCTGGAGAAGGCATTATATTCCTCTAGAACCCTAGAGGTCTGTGGTATCATTCCTTTTCCAGCCTTTCAAGAGAGTCAACACAGTGTCCTAATCTAATACGGATGTATCTAGTACCAGGTAATGTGCCACTTCATATGGTGCAGGTGACAGAGACACTTGTATTGAAAACCCAAACCTGCTGTAGAGTCTTCTTCTTCTCTGAGCCCACTCAAGGCAGTGTTCCAAATTAGTTGATAAATGGAATAGTATAGTGTATCCAAGTGGGGAAAGTGTTGTCTCAACACTCTAGAGAAGCCTACCCAATGCTCAGTTTTATTCTCAGGGGTAGGGGGTACAAGGTGCAATTATTTGTCCTTACCTTGAAAGAGATGATCTAGCATGTCTTCAGTCATCTGGACCCCTGGCATCTTCACCAATGTGACAGGCCTTTGAAATTTATACCATTGTTTCCCACCCTCTGGAGCACGTGTTTTAACAAAATATCCATCTCCCTTACAATTTCCACCTCATCACACCTAATTAACATGATGTCATCACTATAGTGTTGTAGAGGGTGATGCTTTGTGGAATGTCCACATGATCAACGTTGCTTTAGCTGACATTTTGACGGAGAGCAGGAGAGTTAACCTAGCCTTAGGCTAAATCTGAGGCTGTGAGCCGCTGTTCATTTCAGAAGGTTCAAACCCTACCAGAGGGCTGCCATATGCTGTGTCTTCACTCTGTTCTGCTCTGCTGCTGAGCCCTGGATCTGGTCAAGCCTGGAGCAACCTCTGCCAGAACCTCAGCATTGCTCATCTGCAGATGGCCAGCAGAGGGACACCTTGCACACTCACAGATGGTGCAGGGGAGAACACTCCTCTTCTTCTGAATTCTGAATTCTAAATTCTGAATATTCTAAATTCTGAATATTTGAATCAATATGACATCCTCATAATTTGCATATATCTTTCATTGTACATCTAAAGTATGTCTGCCTCTCAGAATTGTATAAGAAGCTCTTGCTTTGGAATGTGGCATGAGCAAAACTGGCAAGTCAAACCCAGCAAGATGGTGTCCCCATTGCAGCTCCTAGGAATTCTGCTCTTCTGGGCTCCAGGTGAGAATATTTAAACAGAGATAAAAGTTATTCTTTGAATCACTAATTTTCTTCATTGGATTCCTGCACCATATAGAATGCAATTTGCTTGCCTTTTAAATATCTATGTTTTCAAGGAATATATATTCTTTCCTCTTGTCTCACTAAGTTAGTGGTGATTTTGATATACAATTAGTTCTGTTCTGCTAATGGTTTTTGTGCGGTTTCAGCCTCCAGGGGTGAGATTGTGCTGACCCAGTCTCCAGCCTTCCTGTCTGGGACTCCAGGGGAGAAAGCCACCCTCACCTGCAGGGCCAGTCAGGGCATTAGCAACTACTTACACTGGTACCAGCAGAAACCAGGTCAGGCTCCAAAGCTCCTCGTAAAGTATGCCTCCCAGTCCGTGTCCTCGAGGTTCAGTGGCAGTGGATCTGGGACAGATTTCACCCTCATCATCAGTAGCCTGAAAGCTGAAGATGCTGCAACTTATTACTGTCAACAGGGCTATAATTATCCTCCCACTGTGCTGCAATCCAGAACAAAAACTAGCTTAGCCTGGCTGTACAGAGAAAGTGAATAATACCGCATACTTCTTCTTCTCTTTGCAGGTGCATTTGGGGCAAGGCTCAGACTAACCCCATGACATGTGGCCCACCCACAGCAGAGCTGAAACCCAAGAGTAGCTGCCTCATGTCTAAGTTTTATCTCTTCCACAGTCATTTTTCAAACTATGTGTATAGTTGTTAAAGATGACCTCTTCTTTTCTGTCTACACACTTACATAAACTGCCCTTTACAAGTTTTACCATTTTATAAGTAAACATTTTGGATTTATTCTTTGGAACTATAGTTGATTTTTGTAACTAAAGAATATTACAGGGGCATAATTTTGGAACCACCGGGAATGGCTTTGAAATGAAATAACAGTGGTGCAGTAATTCAGACTTTAGTTGTCGTGGGCTTGAAGGAGAGAAAAATTGAAACCGCTGACAAAGGGCTGCTTTGCTGCCTGGAAATATGTCAATTTAGATTAACATTATGTTTCACTCTTGCCAGTGGAATTATTTATCTGAAAACTCAGGAGGTGTTGGATATTCAATTTTTAATAAATAAAAACTTGTTCATTGGCAGCCAGACTGTACATATCTAGTTAAACCTTGAGAACAAGAGACTCTCTCAGAAGAATATTTAGCCAGAGTGAGAGGAGGAATCAGAATCTTTTGTTACCTGTCTTGGGAACAGAACAGCGCTCCAGGCCTAAAAAAGTTGAAATTGAGAATCCTTAATCCCTCAATAACAGTCGTTTCATCAAAAGTTGAGTGTACCAAGGCACTAATGAGTAAGGGAAAGTAGCTGTGGAAGCTCAAGCAAGGAGAAAAGATCAAACACATATTTTACTCATTAACTGAACAGGCATATAAAGTGAGAAAAATCACACCCCATCCTCAGAATGAATGTTCTTTACTGTGCATCAGAGGCATTGTCTATCTCCTCTTTCATCCGCCTACAAAATCCAAACTGTGGTTGGAACATAATTTCCTTTTACTTTCATCACTCTTGACTGCAGGACCAGGGTCCCACTGTAAACAATTTTAGTGCCAAGAGTGAGTCATGTCATTTGCTTATGTTTTCTGTGGAGTTATTAATTTATTCAACAACAACTTTGGTTTCCGATGTAAGTATTGGGGATGCAGACTTATATCAAAGTTAATGACATTTTCATTCATAACTTTTATCATATTTGGTCACAAAAAGTTATATCAGTTTTCAGGCACTTTTTTTTTCAGTGCCACACCTATTTTATTCCAAACAAAGTGAGAAAGGACATCATAGGAACTGATGTGTCTACATTATGGTTTCAGGCAGACATGCTCAGTGACACAGGGTCCCTTCTCCAGTGTCCCTTCTCCTTCTGAGAAGCAGCCCTGGCAACTCAGCCTCTGGGCTGTCCCCTCTGAGAGGGACTTCTCCCTGCAGACCTGTCACACTTCACACAGTCACACTTGTTGTGCTACTGCCACCCTGTGGTCCTTTCTTTCCCCCTGACCATCCCCCAGATCCCTTAAACTCCTCACATTCAGGATCTGACTCTGCAACCCAAAAACCTGACTCCACACAATGGACATGAACAATTCCACTTCCAAGACTCTCTTCCCTATTCCTACGAATAATATACTATCTTCCGATTTTATGGATCTGAAACTGACAGCAATAGGCAAAGGAGACACGACTACAACTACCTTAAGTCCTTGGCTACATAATCTACCTATAGGAGTCAGGTGACCTTTGTCCACACTAGAGAAACATAGCAGTCTGCTGCTCAGGTGGACACAAATGAAGATTATTTTATGCCCTTAACTGTTATAGTCAGTGAACCATACGCAGTGACCAGTTCGTCTGCTGTTGTTGAAGCCTGGGTGGAATGTACTGACATATAGTTGAGAGAGATTACTGCTTAAAATTAGGAATATTATTCTCTTTCTCTGAGTCTATAAATAGCATATGATAGTTTTTTGGGTTTTTTTTGAGACAGAGTCTCACTTTGTTGCCCAGGCTAGAGTGAGTGCCTTGGCATCAGCCTAGCTCACATCAACCTCAAACTCCTGGCTCAAGCAATCCTGCTGCCTCATCCTCCCGAGTAGCTGGGACTACAGGTATGCGCCACCATGCCCGGCTAATTTTTTTCTGTATATATTAGTTGGCCATTTAATTTCTTTCTATTTATAGTAGAGACGGGGGTCTCGCTCTTGCTCAGGCTTGTTTCGAACTCCAGACCTTGAGCAACCAGCCCGTCTCGGCCTCCCAGAGTGCTAGGATTACAGGTGTGAGCCACCGTGCCCGGGCAATAAATAGCATAGGATAGTTTTAAAGCCTTTCATGAACAAAGAAGAATTTTTATAAGATTTTACACTTTTTGAATACATAAAAGCAATACATTATAAGGTAAAACAACCAAGCATAATGGCACACTTTTAATAGTTTCATTAATTTTCACCCCAATAGCAATATTCTCTGAAATTCAAGTGTCTTAATGAATATTTTGAAAAGTAGGTTTTCACGAATTGACTTGTAAGAAAAGAAAATGGGAGAGATTGCTTACTGTTTTTTATTTTCTCACAGTTCAAGTTTTCATATTGGATAGTAGGTAGGAAGTGATTCTTTGACATCCTCTCAAAATAATTCTTTAAAACCAATTCAATGATAATATATACCACCGTGTTTTCTTTTAAATTAGCATATCTGGTTATTTTTGTGTTTCTTTTTCTTTTTACCATCTGATGTTGCTGATTCTCTTCACTTATGGTTAATTAGGAGTCAGACATAGTCCATACTAAGAACCAGAACTGAATAGGTCAGCATTCTTATGAAAAAAAGTAAATACACAAAACTGACAACATTAATGAAATAAAAGCATACAAATTTTAAATAGTTAAATATGAAACTTTTATTCAAATTCTACCCCCTTATCATTATTTGTAATTACCAACCCATATTATTGCCATGGACTTCAACCTTTAAAGGTCAATATGAATTTTACTCTTTAAAATGAACTCTTTCAAACTTGTTAAAAAGTTTTATTTTGGTTAATTTTTCCGAAGATATTTAGACCAAGACTTCTTGTAGAATCACACTTAGAACTACATTTGTTTGCTTGCTTGTGTTCTTCCTCAATTAACTGTGACTTGGGCTAAATTACCCAAGAATACATGGCAGGAGAAAGTATTCTTTTAATCGTTCCATTCCAGGGTTTTTTTGTTTTGTTTTGTTTTTATTTTCCAGGACAATGACTCTCATTGTGAAGTGAGGTGGTGCAGGTGCCATTTGTCATGAATTATTCAATTCAATACTAAGTGCACTACTGACAAAGGAAGAACAGCCAAGTTGTTCCCCTGTTTTAATGATCATTGTGTGATAGACTGACATCCCTGAGCTGTGACTATCTTCAAATGAAAGCAACTTATAGGTACAGGTGACCGTGAGATGTAGAACTGTGGATTGACTTCTTGCTTTTCTCACGCACAGAATATCCTGATGAAATTGAGATCACAGCTGTGGTTGCCCCACAAACAGTACAGGGCAGAGACTCAGGTCCACACTCAGAGTGCACAAGAACCCCTCACCAGACCTGATCCCACACACCAAGAAAGACTGTGTTGAAAGCGTTTTTATAAACAACACTTGGGAAAACAATGTAGTTATTTCTTTTTTACTTTTGTGGCGTTAACCTAGGAAACTCTTCCCTTAAGAAATCCCTCTGGCTAATCTGCTATATGTGAGGTAATTATAGTGAGACATCTATAAGATATTGATCACCAGGAATTTTCTATTCACTGCCTGAGGAATAAAATTCTCTTCCTCTTTTCTATTACTTAAGCTGGGTTGTTAGCTATCTAATATCAGAGACACAAAACGTTCCCCATGCCAAGGCCCTTGACAGAGCACTTTTATGAAGTTAAATCACTGGGTCCCAGGGGAAGACATTTTCTAACACTTGCATTTAGCATCCTTGAATAGTTACCCAGGTGACTGCAGAAGACAGACAACTCTTGAATTAACTGAAGATCACACTATAATTTGGAGGTCCGCTGCTCATGGATATTTGTGTGGATGGGGCTCTTTCCTGCTCTAGATTAGATGTGAGGGGTCCAAGCAGGATGGGATTCACCTCTCAGAGGTTAACCCTAGACACACATGTCTATAACACATTATCAGGGTCCTTGTGCTTTCTCAGAGTGGCACATCCTGTGCAATGTATCCTGGCCCAACATCCAAACTCTCAAAGCCGGATTCAGCTTCTTTCTATGTACGACAGACAAATTTCACTTCAGCTGTATTTGTCCTCCTGCAGGAGACATTTTTTATCACTTTGCTCACAAGAGGGGTTCCTAGTCCCCATTGGCTCTTCCACTCCACTGCACCCACCAGGGTATTTGCATACTGTCCCCAAGGGAGGACCTTCCCTTGTGAGTCTGAGATAAAGCTCAGCCCTAAGCTGGCCTGGACTGGCCAGGACTCCTCAGTCCAACTTCTCAAAATGAGGCTCCCTGCTCAGCTCCTGGGGCTGCTGGTGCTCTGGGTCCCTGGTAAGGACAGAAGGAGATGAGGAAGGAGGACGGGGAGTGGGTGAGCTCTGGGCGGGGGAACACAACTTCCCATGTTTACTGTAACCATGTGTTAGAGACATACGGTCTTTGTTCCTGGGAAGGAAATTTATATTTTGACCTTTGAGGAATGAGGAACCCTCTAAAAACTACAAAGATGAGGGTCATGATTAAGATCTTAAAAAACAAAGTTCCTTGTGCCTAGTAAGTAATGGGGTCATTTTAGAAAAGTTATTTGTATCATATGAATTACAAATTATAAAAAAGAATAGCTTTAAATAAATAACATGAGAAAAATCCTGAAAATTGCTTATAATGATTTGGATAACATTGCACTACTTCTTTCTCATTCTTCCAGGATCCAGTGGGGAGATTGTGATGACCCAGAGTCCACTGTCCCTGCCAGTCACCCCTGGAGAGCCGGCCTCCATCTCCTGCAGGTCTAGCCAGAGCCTCCTGCATAGCGATGGAAACACCTATTTGCATTGGTACCTGCAGAAGCCAGGCCAGTCTCCACAGCTCCTGATTTATGAAGTTTCCAACCGGTTCTCTGGGGTCCCAGACAGGTTCAGTGGCAGTGGGTCAGGGACAGATTTTACGTTGAAAATCAGCAGAGTGGAGGCTGAGGATGTCGGGGTTTATTACTGCATGCAAGGTATACAATTTCCTCCCACAGTGCTACAGTCCCGAACACAAACCTCCCTGCTGTTGAGGCCCAGCTGCCCACAAGGG